GGCCCTTAGTCTCTTCTCCCTCAGGCAGTAGATTTTGTATATTCCCAAAGCATAGCAAACAGTTAATGGATTTTGCTATCATTGATTTTTTTTTTTTAGAAACTCCTAGCAATGAGGAGTGACACTTCCGGCATTTGCTACATTATACACCAAAATAACATGGCTGCCTTTAGATGCAATGTACCTTGGTTTGCATGAGGGAGGGACACCATTTTGTAGCTGCAGGCAGTACAATGTCTTAAGTTGGCCCTAGAATGCATGAGGAAGACCACCATTTTGTAACTGCAGGCAACACAGTGTCTTAGGCTTGCCCTAGGTTGTATGAAGGAGGGAAGACTACCATTTTGGAGCTGCAGACAACACAATGTCTTAGCTGGCCCTAGGATGCATGAGGGAGGGAAGGCCACCATTTTGTAGCTGTAGGCAGTACAGTGTTTTAAGTTGGCCCTAGAATGCATGAGGAAGACCACCATTTTGTAACTGCAGACAACACAGTGTCTTAGGCTTGCCCTAGGTTGCATGAAGGAGGGAAGGCCACCATTTTGTAGCTGCAGGCATTACAGTGTCTTAGGCTTGCTCTAGGTCAGGGGTAGGCAACCTTTTTGAGCCGGGGGCCGGGTTGCTGTCCCTCAGACAATTGGAGGGCCGAAGCACCAAAAATAAATAATAATTTAAAAATTTTTAAAAATTTAAAAATTAAAAAAATATGCATGCACACACACTCAGCCCCCGAAAAGCCATGGCAAAACCCCTGTGGAGATTTTGCCAAGAAAACCCCAAGAACAAGTAATAACAAAAATAATCAATATCATCATGGCGGGCGGTGGCGCCGGCGGCAGGACTGGCCTGAGGCCGGTCCAAAGGCCTCGGGGGCCGCATCCGGCCCCTGGGCCTTAGGTTGTCTACCCCTGCTCTAGGTTGCATGAAGGAGGGAGGACTACCATTTTGAAGCTGCAGGCAACACAATGTCTTAGGTTGACCCTAGGTTGCATGAGGGAAGGAGGGCCACCATTTTGTTGCTGCAGGCAATATAATGTCTTAGACTGGCCCTACACTGCTTCATATTAGAAACATAGGAGGCAGCCTTGTATCCAGTCAGTGTTGTCTACTTTGACCGGTGTTAGGTAGAGGTTTATTAGCTGTGGATGTCAAGGAAATATCAACCTTGGGTTCTTCTCCAGAGGCTGTATTCAACCACTGGGCTGAATTGTGCAGTGAGTCACTAGGGCGACAGGATCTTGGGGTATACATCTATGGTCCCACTCAACAGGATGA